ACAGCCTAGTAGTTCAGATTTACCACGTTGATTTCTGTTTATTTGTTGGATAGAGGTGCAGCAAGTAAATAATTTCTGTTCTTGATCACAGGTCAAGTGAAGTTAGGTGTGCATGCCATGCGTTTATGTCAGATTAGAAATGAATCTGATTTTGACAGTGATGTGAAGGGTGAAACTCTTGTTTCTTTATTGCGCCTGCTGGAGAGCTCAATCTCGTTTAACAATGTTATTCTTCGTCATTACTTGTTCTGCATCTTACAAGTCCTCGCTCGAAGGTGCTTATTCCTTCATTACCTGTTAATTTGATGGATTTCTGGTACTTCAATCTGTTCATCTGTTCTGCTATCTGCTGGAGATGGCAAGTAAACATGTTCACTTGCTCCCTTTGGTTTTATAGAATTCTAATTGAAGTGTCTTATGTTCCTTCAAATAATTGCTTAGTGTATGAAATCATTTTGCCAGTGTGATTTACCTTTTGCATGATAGGTAAGATTTGCATATTACGACACATTTATCTCACACACACATTTTGCCAGTGTGATTTACAAACACGTTAGAGCATTGTTGTGTTTAATTTTTCAGACCTATTGCACTTTGAAGTTTTTCCATCAGTCTGTTCTATTGGAGCAGTAACTTTTCTGGTATGCAGTTAGGTAAGATTTTTATGGTTTATGGTTAAAAATTTATCTATTTATCTTCTTTCAGAGCACCGACACTGTTTGGAGTGCCAAAAGATGAAACTTTGAGGATGGGGCATGCTGCATTTTGCAGCAATCTTAAGAATATTTTCGCTGATCTTGTCAAACAATCTAAACCTCCTGAATGTCCTCTGGAGAACCTTGAAGATATACTTGATGATTCAGCCATTGCAGATGCTCTTCCGGGCAATGAAAATGCAAAAGGTGCTACTATCTCAGTACCTGATAGTTTATTTGTATCAGAGGTCCAGAAAGACACGGAGGATGCTCTATTGAGTAGTGAAATTATAAACACTGCTACTGGTGCTATACCTGATAGTTTGGTTGTTACAGAGGTCCAGAATGAGACAGATTTGCTGAATTATAGGCATGGAGTAATGCATCCGGTGGGTGACCTCCCACTGGCTAGCTCTGCGGATCCTTGTAGAGAAGAACCTGTCTTACCTGACAATGAGCAAACAAAGCCAATGGTGAGCCTGTTGCATGAGACTGGAGGTATATCCATGGGCCCCCCAACAACCGATAACCTTGGAAGCCGTGATCAAGGGCAACCAGTAATCAATCTTGGACGAGATAATCCAGGAATTTCTGAACCTATCAGAGAACCTGATACTGTTTCTGCAAGTCTTGAAAGAAAGAAGCCTGTTTTCAAGATTAAAGTGAGAAAAACTGTCACATCTTCTCGAGCTGAGGATAATGAAAATATAACGATGGACAAATCTCAAGATGGTTTTCGTGATGTTGATCGTGGGGCAAGTAGCTCTGTTTCTGTTGATGCACCTCAAAGAAATGTTGTTGAATTATTGAGCAGTGGCGGAAACCAGTTCCCTGAGGATGTTAACTCTTGTCATGATGTTGGATCTCATGTTACTGCCAGCATTGGAAGTGCCAAAGTTGCAGTTGAAGTTGAAGAGCTAACAAAGGAGTTGCAATGCACTGCTGAATCGAGCAAAGTTTCTTTGGTGCCACAACTTGATGATCACTTATTAGCGGGTATCACGAGAGTTGATGACCCTGAGGCTGAACCACATAAATATGCAAGTTTGCAGTCGCTGACTATGCCTAACCTTCCAGTTCACGGCAAAGTGAAGGAAAAGAAGAAAGACAGAGGAAAGAAACGAAAGCAGGAGGGGCGCAAAGATGACCCAGAGTACTTGGAGCGGAAAAGGTTAAAGAAGGAGAAGAAAAGGAAGGAGAAGGAGTTAACAAAGATTTTGAAAGACGAGGCAAAGGCTTCAACGTCCTTGGAGAGTCAGAGGAAGAATGAGCAGGGAGGCACCAAAGCAGAGACAATCAGGAATGATCATAAGACAATTTTAGTAGAGCAAGAAAGTAGAAAAGATGAAGCTGAACCCAGACAAGTGGTGAATGGTGCAGAAGCAAAGGCAACCTCTTCGGGCTTGTCTGGTAGAAATGAGGATATCGGGGCTAAAGGAGCAAGCATGCAATTGAAACCTGGGGGATCTAATGGGGTGAAGTTAAACGTAGATACAGGCGATGCGAGTGTAAATGCTGGGCCACCTTCTTCTTCACATAAGTTCAAAATCAGGATTAAAAACCGAACGCTTGGTAAATCATGATTTGTGTAGTAAATAAATTTCCTTGTAGAAATTGGTAATTTGTTTTCTATATGTTCTATTCATGTGTAGCTTTTGTATCATGCAAGAAATTTACTTGTACGGAGTCTTAATTAATTACATGTACTAATAAAAAGGTGTGCATTTTCTTTTGTCTCTAGTGTCAAAGCTGTTGGGGTTGTGTATTTTGCATTATCATTTTTATCACATATGAAGTGATTACTGATTAAGATCAGTAACGAGGGATAAAATAATAATTAGAACCTGTGATGTACATATAGATTGTACAATTCAACTTTTTAACTATGATTAATTTTATATTTGAATAAAAAACAGTAATGTTTTGGTCAAGATCTCAGCATTTACCGTACAAATTAAAGCAGCCTACAATTTCATAAAGAGGAGATTGATTGCTGGGACTTGGGAGTATTAACTGAATCTACTTTATCTCCTTTTCTTTTCTTGCCAATAACTATGGACTGCCAAACGATGAGGATTTGTTGCTCTTATTGGCACACCATTTTAATTTTATACTCTCCCTGTCCCTAATTACTTGTCCATTTTAACAAATCAAGAAAATACATTTTTTTTACCTATTATACCTTCAATTAAATGACTAATTATTTTGAAAAATGTAGAATTTTTCATCCACTTGATAATTAATAGGGGTAAAATGGTAAATCCACTATGTCATTAATTATTTTCTTGATAGGTATGTCAATTCAAAAGTGGACAAGTAATTAGGGACAGAGAGAGTACTTATGTGCCAACTTAGCTCATAACGAGGCTACATCAAGGTTTTCTATTTTAAGGTTAGGTTGATTGGCCGGATATGATTTGAAGTCAGATTGATTTAAATATGAAATTTTATTCTATTATGTAATTTGACTCTTTTTTTTAAATTGTACTTTTTAAAAAAAATAAACATAATGACCCACAATTTGTGAATTATCAAAACTCTAAAATTTTAATACAATCTTATCAAATTATAGTTCATAAATAAGATATCAAAATATCGAAGGTATTGTGTTAAATGTTAATAATCATATGTCTGCATAATCTTTTATATATATAAATATTTGTGATCAAGTGTCATTGTAAAGTCACATATACATAATTTTACAAAGATTCACTAGTTAATTTTTTTTATTATTAATAATAATTAGTTATTCTTTAATAATAATGTAATTTGACTTTTTTTTAAATTGTACTTTTAAAAAAAAAAAAACATAATGACCCACAATTTGTGAATTATCAAAACTCTAAAATTTTAATACAATCTTATCAAATTATAGTTCATAAATAAGATATTGAAATATCGAAGGTATTGTGTTAAATGTTAATAATCATATGTCTGCATAATCTTTTATATATATAAATATTTGCGATCAAGTGTCATTGTAAATTCACATATACATAATTTTACAAAGATTCACTAGTTAATTTTTTTTATTAATAATAATAATTAGTTATTCTTTAATATAGTCTTTCCATGTGTTCATGTCGAATTTTGAACCATGATTTAGAATTTGAAAACCTGTTTTTTTTTTTAAAAATAATAATAATATATTGGAATTTGAAAATTCCAAAAAAAAAACAAACTTGAAACTGCGTTCTTAACTTCTATAGCCAAATTCCTATTTAAATTCAATAACTTATCTCAGAGTGTCGTGTTGCGTAATACATTATGATCTGGAACATGGTCGGCCATGCGTGAAAGCTAACTCTACCGTCGTTTCAAATTATGGATCGTTTGATCGGTGGTATAAGAATAACAAATACTTAGGATAAAAGGTAAAAACAATATGATTTTATAGAACATGACAACTATTTTTTAAAAATAATTAGTTCTGAGATTATTTTATTCTATTATATATTAAAAATGATGAGATTAGTTATATCATATATATATATATATATAACACGACAATTAATTTCATGAAATATAATATCCTTATCTGTCCAATCCCATGCAACAAAAAGTCCCCTTACATTTTGTTATAAAGCTGTAATATTAATACTCCCTCCGTCCCATTTTATATGTTATCCCTTTCTATAAATAATTGGTCCATAATACTTGTCATTTCATAAAATCAATGCATAAATTATCATATTGTTCCTTTTTTATCCTTGTGAGTTATTAGCCATAAAAATATACATTTGATCAACTTAGAAAAGCTAAGTAAATGATTCATGTTCATTGGCTAAATTAATTAATCAAAATAAATTAATTCATATTCATTGATTGAAAACTTGAATTTCAAAAAAAGTAAATAAGGGTAGAAGGGTATTACATTATTTCTTAATGCAAGTACAAAATAAAAAAATGACATATAAAATAAGACGGAGGGAGTACTGTATATCAATCTTATCCCCTAGAGGGTACAACCTAAAAATTAATAGCAGTTATAGGGTGATTGATTTATGCAATCTTTCTTTTAGGGATTTGTTGGAAAAATAGTCCCGTCATATTACGTGCCGTTATCGACTTTCATTAATGCTACAGTAAACACTTCTTTATTTTTATAAGAAGTTTCTTACTTTAGCTGTATTTCATTGGTACCACCTAAATATATGAGTATATCTTTTAATGGTCCTCTTTAAATTTTGGGACCTTAGACACGTGTCGATTTCTCTACTCTTTAAAATCGGCCCTGGTTTGAAGGTGTCGTGCATCTATTTATAATACGAAGAATGAGTGATTTTGTTCGAACCCTAAGGTATAATGGCCTAACTACTTGATTCTCGATGGCTAACGGCTCAAGCAAAGCTATAAGGTAGAGGTTTTTGAATTTGAAAGAATAAGAATATGGAATCTCATGATGCTAATTAAATGTTTTCATTTTTTTTCCTCTCAAAATCATCATAATATGTAATAAGTGGTAAGTGCTTGTTAATGACATTTTTTTTTATCAGCTAGAAATTGTACAAAATATGAAAGAAATGAAGATGGAATATTATTAGGGCATGATTTCAGGTCAGTTTCAATCACTTCTCATTCTTCTTCTAGAACTATTTATTTTCTACTTTTTTAGCTAAAACTAGCATTTTTTTGTATACTAAAATAAAGTTGTGCCTTGGGTGTTGTTGTATTGTGAAGTGAAAATAACAAAAATAGTTGATATGAGATAAAATAATTCTTGTTTTTGTTTTTATGTTTTTTTAAAATTAATTTAATAAAATGGTGAGGTTTTTATTTCTTCAAATTGAGTTACAAAAAGAGTAGAAATTGCAAGGATTTTAGTTTTTATTTTTATTTTTTAAACTAGGATTTTTTTACTCTTCTACAGACAAAATATAAGATTAACACAAAATAAAATATATTAAATACCTTGATCTTGTTATCAAACTGTGCTTGCAACAGTAAATCAAAAAAAAAAAAAAAGACCTTTAATATGAGGTAAGAGATCTTTGAATTTATAAACAATGAAAGAGTTAGATAAAGAGGTGCAATTCAAATATGTCTTTTTTCTCATTTATTTACACCTTAAAAATCCCAATATTTATAACTATCTACTACCAAAAAAAATAAATTAAAATTAGTTACAAACTTTCCCTCCAAACTTAGCAAGGCTTCCTAGTGCTTCTGCCATGTTATTGTTGTTATTATTTTTATAATGTATATCAGGAGATTTAGTAAACATTTTATAAATGGTTTAATTGTAAAACTTTATTTACATATTCATGCATAGATTAAAACTCGAGTAAATATGGTTATGATCCAGAAATGCAGATGTCATTTGAATCAAACACTTTGTCCTGAATGAGGCTGTAACTTTGCAACTATCAGCGTGTATTTGGTACGAAAGAAAAATATTTCTATACAAAAATATTTTGTATGAAAATATATTTTTTAAGCATATCATAATTACTACCTTAAACTCAGTGGCGGAGCCACCTTATAGTTAGGGGGTCATTTTCGAACCTCTTTTAACAGAAGATTATATTATTTATATATAATTAAAATAATTTTTTAAATATAAATTATAGATATCGAACCTCTTTTAACTATTTTGTGTCTATTTTTTCAGATTCTAAACTCCTAATTAGAAATTCTGGCTCCGCTACTGTCTAGACTAGACTGGGCACCCATGTGGGTAAACCGATATGGAGTAATTAGTTATATATATTTTTGAATTAGGGATTAAAAAAAAAGACGCAATGATTAGGACATTCCTTAAATTGTTTTGTCGTTTTACGATATTAAAAAGAGGAGTGTGTGGAACTCCAGGCTTCATTCTCTGCAACAAAAAGGAAACACGGAAAAAAGTGTCTTCTTCCCTTTAGATTTATACAGTGTAGTTCTTTTTTTGTCTTTATACTAGTAAAACAAATTTCATAATCCTATTACATCATCATGAATCAATTGAAAATTTATGTTCTAAAATATAATTTTTTCACTCATTTTTCATCGAACCAGCTCACCGAAAAACGTATAGTAGGAAATAGTGTCTTCTTCCCTTTAGATTTATACAGTGTAGTTCTTTTTTTGTCTTTATACTAGTAAAACAAATTTCATAATCCTATTACATCATCATGAATCAATTGAAAAATTATGTTCTAAAATATAATTTTTTCACTCATTTTCCATCGAACCAGCTCACCGAAAAACGTATAGTAGGAAATAGTTTCTCTAGTGAAAAAAATTCTATTTTTTTGTACGAAAACAATACTATTTTATCTTTTCTTACAAATGCAATCAAAATATCTACGATAAATTTTCTGTCCCCATTTATATGACTCACATTTTTTTATAGTCCGTTGTAAAAAAATGACACACCTTTATATTTTGTAACAATTTAATTTTAAAATATTTATTTTTTACTCTTAATGAAATGATTTATAGCCACACAAACATCTATGACATTTTTTAGACCACAAAATTCAAAAGTCTTTCTTTCTTTTTAAACTCTATGTCGCAAGTAGTGGCGGAGCTAGAATTTTATATAAGGGGGTTCAAAATCTGAAGAACTAAACACACGAACTAACTAAAAGGGGTTCAACATCTACTATATATATATATATATACATAAAAAATAATTCAAACCATATATAATAGTAATATTTTCCGCCGAATGAACCCCTAAGTCAAACTAATTCATATAAATTGAGACATAGTTTTTTAACAGTGACATTGTGTGTGTTTTAAATTCTTCACTTTCTATCAAGCAAAAAAAAAGTTTGTTGTTGCTAATAGAGGGAAAAGTAGTGATGATAATGTAGATTGGGTAATCATTCTAGAAAAGTTAAAGAGGGATCAGTCCCATATTTGGGCTTTTAAGAAGTTTGCTAAATGAAGTAAAAGTATGTCCTTAAGTAAGTAAACCTAATAGTCCAACTGAGAACAGCAGGCCCCTGGCCCATTTATATTGTTCACTCCAGCTTTTTGGGGATTTCCCCGTACTCCTACTATTTTATCCTTGAAGCTATATAAAATATTATTTGACCTTTGAACAATATTTAGTTGAAGTTGAAACAAAAAAAAGAAAGAGGATAGAAGTTGACGTTTTAAAAAAGTTAAATTATTTTATAGTTAAAGTTGAAAAAAACGATACGTGTATCTCAGATAAATATGGATCAAATTAGGTGTAATTTATTTCATATACACTCTCTAAGTGTGATTTGCATGTATCTGAGAATCTCATGACTCTCTCGCTCGCCTAAATGTGTTTGGTATCAAAGTATTGAGGGAGAAATTTGAAGGAGACGCATATTTAATCTGGTACAAAATTATTAATTAGTGAATTAATATATAGTTATATCATACGTACATGGATTACGTTATGCGAAATGTAGAAGAATGTTCACATGAAATGTGGCAAAATCAAATTCAACCTACCAAATCAATCCAAACCACTTTAAGTTTGGGTAAAATCAAACTTTGATTCATTTATTATCTTTAACCCATTATGACCCGTTCAAATTTGACCCAACCCGCTCCAATTGCCACCTCTAGAATAGCCCAAGTGAAATGACCATAGAGGCATTAGAGCTGTTGAGCAGTATCCGGCCCACAGTGACCCATAAGGCCCATCAGTACGGCGATATCCCATGGGTAGATATGGCTTGTAAAGAATATCAATTCTCATGATTCTCACTCAATTCCTATGCTACCTACTTTATACACATTTCAATATTCTTTATATGATTATTTTGACGTCTAGGATTTAATAATATTTTTGGTATATGATATTTGTGCAAAATCAACATAGAAAAAAAGTATTTTCGAAACAATACAAACATGAGACATTAACATTAGTTTGTCAATTACGCATAATTAAGTCAAATATACAATGCACATGATATTTTTTTCTTTTTGGAAAAAAATATATACTTTTGGGTTGGGCCACGAAGAATAGCAAGTGCTTGAGTTTGCTCCGGGAGAGGGTGCCATTTAGATGTTTCAAATATTTTTATATGTTTATGAAACAATCGGAATATCTTAGTTGTTCAATTGATTTGCTATTAGGAATTTTCACTCCCGAAAGTCCGATTTTGATCCTCTTTCCCCTTTTTTCCTTGCCCCTACCCCAATTTTTTACTTTTTTAAAAAAAAAGTGGAAAATGTTGACCAAGATTTCTTAGCAATATTTTTTCTTCATGTATTGGCTTTCTTTGTTCATGCCAATTGCCAAGTATGTAGGAGATAAAATAATTCTTAAAAGCATGAAATTTGATACTCTCTATTATATAGGAGTGCAGTTTTGATGCAGAACAATGCAAGTAATGAAAACAATTAATAAACAGGTAATTACGCTATTTATTCGTATTTGATATTTACACTAATTAAATCAATAATTGCGAGACATATTTTGTATTCTCACATTTGGGGTTTTACAATGATTAAGTGATGTATATTTTCATAATAATATTGAGGAGAGGTGATTAGGCATGACATGACATACTTGTAACTTTACTAATTAAGTATGTGACCCTAGATAAGAGTATGTAGGTCAAAGATTATGATAGAAGGTTACTAGATAGTCTAACGTTGTCTAAATTTCATTATCAATATTCTTTTCACCATTACTTTTATAATTACTTCTTCACTATTACTATTCCCTTTTCATACATGTTTTGGAATTCTTTACTTGATTTGAGAATCCATCATAAACAACCTCTTTTAACTTCACAAGATCATAGGTGTAAGATCTGAATACAAACTATCCTCTTCAGACCGATTATATGTTGTTATATTCACACAACAATTACCAGCTAAAATTATTGTTGTTTGACATCAAAAGAAAGGATTCCCCCCTTATTTCTTTATCTATATATTTTTAAATTCCACTTCTCCTTTCTATTCTAAACAAAGTAACAATAGTTTCCACTCAAATAGCTATAGTATTAGAACAATAATGAGAAACAGATTATCATAAGATACCAATAATTAGTGATGGGACTTAGAACAATACTTAATTTTAGCATATTAATGTTACTAAGAATTATGTTAAAGCTGCCCATTGACAGGCTATGTTGTAGGCTAAAAGATGCCAACCGAATATTGACATCAATGTCTGCAATAGTACTGGAGTAATAGTAAGTAATACAAAATGACACTTGTAAACATGATAATCATACTCAAAATTTTAAATTTATCAGTTCTGAATTCTTAAAAAGATAGTTTACTCTGTTCTGAATCAATTTATACATATTAAGTGAATCTCTTTAACACATGTAGATGATTTTATAGAATCGTAACTAGAACTCTAGTTCCGTCTTGGAAACAAAGAGATAATGAACAAGTGATGAAGACATCATCAACGTTATGTATCTCTAGAAGCACATAAAAAAAAAATTGTATTGTTAATTTTTGCTTTTGAGAATGTTGACATCTCTCCTTATAATAAAGTCCTACATATCCTTTAGTATTCGTCTTGTAGCTAGTACTGATGCAGAAGGGGGGGATAAGGGGGTCCTTTAGGATTAGACAACATTTGACACAAGCTTTTTGTTCAATTATTTTGCTTGGCGCTATATAATGTGCGTTACACTAAACCACATGAAGGGGAAGTAGGGAAAAAAAAGAATGTACTTGACATCTCTATTGAGTATAAAAGTAATGAAGTGATTGATCCTTTAATTTGACCCATGCGTGACCTTTAGCCTTCTTATTATTGGTGGTGTGCATATAATTTGACCCTTGACAAGCTTCTACAATCGTGTCATCCTTTGATTTTATCTCAATTAGGTCATTTGGTACGATCAAAGTTATTTTATTAAATGTATATTAAAGACTTGTAATGTGAAAAATATTTTTTGAAATCAAGGTATATTATAAACTATACTTCAGTGGAACACCTTAATTCCTACTAAACTAGAGCACTTAAATCTCATCAACTGCATATGCTATGACAAAAGATATATGTAGTAGCAACAATTTTTTCTTTTAGCGGTAATAGTTATTGTTACAAAAATATTTAACGACAATGGAATTAATATTACTTCATTCAACTAAAGACTTTAGGTATTTTTATAGAGAGTGACCGATAAATTAAGAAGCACGGTGTGATGAATGAATGAATTTTTTCAATTTTAATTAAAGATTTTGAGTTCATTTTTTTAAAAATTAAAGATTTTAAGTTTGAGTGAATGATTTTTTCTTTTCTTTTTAAGGGAACGCTTCACTTTTTACCAAGTCTTAGCCTCTTAGGCGGTGGCCAGTTAATTCTAGACACGTAATGGTGTAAAAAAAGAAATGACAAGCTGTTTGGTTTTGCAGCCGAGCCGGTCTTTTTTGTATGTAGCCTCTCCCCAGGCGCGGCGCTCTCTCAGGTTAGGGTTCTTCAGGCGGCTTCAAATTAGCAGAACCAAAAAATGGTAATTAATTAATTAGATTCTATCCTCTGTAGCATAGTTTAGCATCTGATTCTTTCTTGTTTTTTCCTCATCACATCAGAAAAATACATCCAAATTATTAAATTCTATAGGCATATATTTTCAGGGTTCTTTTTTTCTCCAATTACAGTTTCAGATGCTCCTCCTTTACCTTTTACACCAGTGTCTGATATCTGTATTGGAGCGAGATAGATTCAATTTTAAATTTTGGATCTCGATCAATTATTCCATCACAACTCATGTTAGTGTCAAACGGATCTGAAATGCTTTAGGCATTTATTCCATTTTCACCCTTCCCCATGGAATCTGAGCCCTAGTTTTATCTTTCTTCTAGGGTTAGAAGAAAATATCAGAGAAGTTCATGGTACAAAGAGGGTGCAGGTAGAGCACGTGTATATACAGAAACCCTAGTGGGGAAGAAGCAATATGATAGGTCAAAAACCCTAAATTTGTGCTGTAGGTGCCTGCAGCTAAGCTAATTCCACCTTATAGGATGGGGGACCAAATATGGTGTGCCCGGGCCACCATAGGTTCAAAATTTTGTCGCCGTGGGTCGAATAGTACACTGAGAAACATACACTCCTCTTCTTTCCCACAATTCATTAATTTTGACTGCAAATATGCTCTGTACTCCGTACTATGGTCATTTACCACTTGGATGGTTTCGAAAAGACGGATTCAAAATTTAAAGATACTTAGACATAGCTAAAAGCAGATGCACGTTAGTTGAAGATGCTTGTATGAAGATTTTATTAAGGTACCCATAGAACTGATGTATACTAACATAAAATTTTAAATAGAAGGGCATAATTGGATGAAGCTCACTTAGAGGACGCGTGGTTTGAGCATCACTTTGCATACATTAGGTTGTTTGTTTGAAATCACAACTTGGGTTGCGTGCCCTTGAGGGATGCTTTTTTGTTGAAGTTAATTGGTACATGTGTTTCTTCTATGTGGGTCTGCCTCTAAATGCGACACTATCATGCTTCTTACTTTTAATTCAATTTTTTTCTAAATCAAAAAGTAAACTTAGCATCATATATATGTTCACTTTATTTATTTTTTTAAATCTAAGTATTGAGAAATTGCAATCTTCACTAATGCCTCCTTTAAAGAAGGTGAACTTTATTGGGATTTTAAAAAATAAAATTAATAGTAATTTCCAACTCCAGCTAATTAAACCAAGTAATTGAATTTTAGAATCCATATTATGTCTGTAAAGTTCTTCCAAGTCAAATATTACTGCTATTACTAGGATTTACTTTACCATATTTAGGTCGGTGGAAAGTACAACGGTAGAAGTATATTCAAAATTCAAAATTCAAAATAATATGAAATTAAAATATCATAATAAGCATACTATTTAAATTAAAGTTATTACATTCGATCTAAATTTATATTTTCCACGAGGAGAGCAAGACGAAGTGCATAAGCAGAGAGGGGCCTGCAATAGTAACATATATCATTATTTATAAAAACAAGTTTTATATGTGATATTTCACATCGATAATATTAATCAATAGACGGCTGTGTTTGAGACTCTGAGTCTTTGGTCACTTGGACTCAACCTGGATTCTTTCCAAGTGTCATGTGTGGGTTGTAGAACACTCATCATATGTTTTGATTGGAGAAAATTATATAATGTAATAAAAAACATGTCTCTTTCAGTTTTTCTTTTTTACAGTCCATTTATATAAAAAAACTAATTAATTTGATAACTTTTGAATTTCAATATTTTATGTGACATGTGTTTATGATAATAAGTTTAAAATACATTTTGATATATTATGTATCTTTAGTTTAAAAATATTAAATTTGAAAAAACTTCTTTACTTTCTTAATTTTTGTATTCAGTTAAATTAAGATAAATAAACTAAAAACGAAGGTGTAATATTTGACTATTTATACACTTATAAAGAAGAAAGGAAGAGAGTATTTTTAAACAAAATTTAACTCAACAAATCTTATGTTGCAACTAAAATATATGATGATTGACATGAATTTGATAATTGTAATATAAAAACCCATGAAACAAAAAAAATCTATGTAAAATTATATGCAATAATCATTTTAAAAAAATATCTACTGTCTTACATATAATACCAAGTTTTAAATAATGAAAATTTTACTTTTCTCTTGTCTCCACATCCGCAAATCAAAACTTAACAATAAAGGGAATAAAGGTGGATGGGAAATATATAGAACTCTCTCAATGACTTAAATTAAATCACTTGGTTTTATGTATGCGACCATTTAAGTAAATTGATACTCTTGCTGTCTTAAAATAAGTGTCTCGTTAATAAAATAATTTTGTCCCAAAATAAGTTTTATCTTAAAAATTTAAGAAAAAAATAGTATTTTTTTTCAACTATATTTTTAAATTTCATATCCTTAAAAATGTTAAACTTTAAAAAAAAACATTTATTAAATCCGAATAGTTTTATAAACTACACATTATAGTTATTAAGTTCTTAATAAACATGATTTTTGCTAAGATAACACTTATTTTGGTAGAGAGAAGCACTCCTCAAGATCCAAATGCTAATGCTTTGTATATTTGTTGTAACATGCTTTATATAGATTATATATAGAGATATATAGTATAATTGCAATTAGGTTAGATTAATTATTTGTTTATATATAATTAAAATCAATCCTGATTTTTAGTTTATGTAAGTACTTTTTTTTTTTTTTTTCATTCCGTGTTCGATACTCATAATGAAACTCGAATCTGGGTAAGGTCGAATCGGGGGTAGCACTCTCTACCTAGAATTCTTTCATATCTAGGGCTTGAAACCGAAATATTTATTTGATGAAGGAGCAACCTTATCCACCGTATCACATCCTCTTTTGGTGATATATCTAGTGTACTTAATTACATTAGTAAACTAAAGAAACCTTGCAATTTTAACAAAGCTACAAGAAGATGTGACAAATTAAGATCCTAATTAATTCTCTTCAGGTCTAATTATATGCATATTTTCTACATATTTGAGGAGAAACTTAATTAGGAATAAAAAAATGTTGGTCACAAAAAAATAAAAGATAAATCATCTGGGAATGTCATCTATGAGGATATGGTTTATTTAATTTCTTGTTCCCCACTTTTGTGCTTCTCCTTTTTTGGTTCATTTAACCTATCCATTACCTTTCTCCTTTTATTTCTTAGTAACTTTCTTCTTTTAACCTTTTATGCTCATTAAGGAATCATTTTCAGGTACTATATATAAGTCACTACCTTTATTTCTTGGTTCTCAAGGCCGCCCATATGTTTATCCTCATCTATTAATAACCTTTTATGAGTGCTATATTAACCGGAGGTGGTGTGGGGGTTTGACATGACTCCTATCCATCCCAAAGTCCATGTACGGAGGAGGACATAAACCTTTCATGTTAATCGATTTAAACTATGATATTAAGAAAATTGGAGAAATTATTCCAATTTGATGCCTTTAATTTCTCTAACATCTTGTTTTGCCTAGATTTGTCAATGACATAATTGATTCATTAGTATACAACTATACATCCTATATCAATGAACACTACAATAAAAGTAAAAACAACTTTTAACGATAATAAATATGCACATTAATAAAGAGTATTAAAATTTTTACCTGCATTAGTTAATTGTCATTGGATTCAATGTCCCTATAGGCTTCAGGGACATTTACAAAGAATACATATTTAACGGCAATTAAGCTATTATCGTTAATTAATTATCTCTAAAGGTCATTTTTTATGTAATGAAACACCCCTTATTTATCATACTCTTTATATTGCGCGTTTTTATGGGCGATCAGTAGCCTTCATGCATCTAATGAATCAAAAACTAATGTTGGGAAATTCTTTCTCGAAAGTAAATCATTTGGTACTAGTAAATCATAATTATTGAAGTAGTCGGCATATCTTAATTATTTGTCTTGCACCTGAAATTTAAATTACGTCTTGAAATAGTGGAAAAGTTACTATTAGGACATTAATTGGTGTGTCACTGATCAGATCAGATGTGACTTGTTATTAGTAAAGATCAAATACTGTGAATGTAACCTAGTAAATCATCCCTCAATATTACAACATTATCCTCTTCTCTGACTTTTTTTGACTAAACCTTAATTTTGTAGAATTGAAAAGTTTTGTCAATCAGCGGTTACGTTGTTTGGTGTGAAGGATAAAAATAAACAGTCCAGGGATAAAATTTTGATGTCATGTTTGAGATAACTTATCCCACCATTTATATCATAGTGTAACGGTATAAGTTATCACATATACATGATGGGATAAATTATCCAAGATAGCTAACCCCAGAATAATTAATCCTAGGATAACTTGTTCCCAAACGAAACGACCCTGAAAGTATTTAAGACCGTTTCACATCGGATGAAAAAGGGATCCCTTATATGGTCTAGGGCAACCTAAGTTGAGTTAGACTTAAGATCCATTTCTTTTTCATAGTATTAAAGCAGGACCGATCTCCCTTGTTATTTACCGATGTTGGGAAGTGGGGTGTTGAAGATTCACATGCATGTCGGATGAAAATGGGATGGGCGTGCGGTCTCTTTATACAGTCTTGGACAATATCCCCCTAATCACGAGCTAACTTTTAGGGTTGAAATAGGTCCAAGATTGATTTCTTTTATCAGAAAACTCAGAATTAATGCACAAGTACTAAAACAAGAGAATCTCTTGGCACTCAAATCAGTGTAGAGGGATATGCTATGCTAGGATCATAGTAATGATTCTGGAAACGATGCCCATATTTATGACCATTCATCTCAAACTACTTTGATACACCTAATAAATTTGTCTTTTCATCCACTTAGGTTAATGGAATGATATAACTAATTAATAAGTGCTATAATAGTTACAGTATCATTTTATTCCTTTTGATTTGCCATACAAAGGCAAGAAACAAGGAATAACTAATGAAGGATTAAGATGACTGATGATTTAAAATTCCTGCACTAACATACATCAGATGTTGATATGGAGAATTATTTGGTTGATTTCATGAAAACAAGATCTTTTAAGGCCTTTATTTTCTACGCCAACTCTCAATGAATTACGTTAATATTAAACTATAGACTTTG